AAAATGGCGGATCCAATATGGCGGATGAATTTTTAAAAAATTGTTTAATTTTAATAAAACTTGGTGTCCAGGGGTTTTTGGGGTCGCTGATTAAGAATCTGAAGCCAGATTAATAAAATCCAAAATCGCGGGTCCAATATGGCGGATGAGATTTTTAAAAATTTATCCAAATTTCTTTAAAATTTATAATCGAGGGTTTTTGAAGTCGCTGATTACGAATCTAGGGTCAGATTAAAAAAATTAAACATGGCGGATCCAATATGGCGGATGAATTTAAAAAAAATTATTTGATTTTAATAAAACTTGGTATCTAGAGGTTTTCGTGGTCGCTGATTACAAAATCTGAGGTCAGATTTTTAAAACTCAAAATAGAAATATAAGAATATTTTATAAATTTAGCTCACTTTTTTCAGATCGGCTAAAATCTAGGAAATTATTCTCTAAATCAAAGTAAATTTATATCATTTGAAAGCTTATGATTTCTACTAAAAAAATAAAAAAGAGTTTTTGATTTATCTTTTTTAGTTTTACTTAGAGAAACTTTTTAATAAACATATACCAAATTTCGAAATCACAATTTTCCAGGGTAAATCCGCTCACTTTATCTTTTCAAGACGGAACAGTTTTATTTTTTAAATATTAAAGTTCTTCTTATTCCCGTCTTAAGTATGATTTATTATTGATAATTTATGAGTTATATAAACAATTCTATAAACAACAAATTGGTTTAATAAATAATGAACATAGATTTCATGAATTACAACTATGGATTTAAATAGTGTTATATTTTATTAAGAGAAAGTGAAATGTAGTTACAATTTTGGTTTTAATAAGTCATAAATTGTGTTATTGTTGAAATATAATACGTGAAATTATTTTATTCTAAATTTTTAATTTAAAACTAAGTGAGCGGTGTTACGGGCCGCGTTACCTTTAATAACGTAACTCTAGTAGTTCACGATGATTCGCCGGATTCTACCTTGATTAAATCCTTAAAGAAGGAAGCGGGAATATTTAAATTAAAAGACGTTTAATTCCGTTTAACGGAAGGAGGAAAGCCCACTCGAGAAATTAGTTTTTCTTGAGTGAGTAAAACCCCTTTATTGTTTATTAAAATATTTGTTAAATACAAACTGGCTAAGGAGTTTAGAAAACAACCTTTCAAGTCAGAGAGTAACTTAGAACTAACTATAACTATTCATTCCGCGGAGAGGTTCTCCGCTAAAGTCCATTTTTGTGGAAATGCGCATGCGTTATTCTACGCGCATTTCTTTACTGTAGCATACAGCATCGTTGCACCAATACTTTTCTGCACTACATTGAAACTATACTCACACACACATTCAAGAGAGATCATCTCTACACTCATGCAATTTACACTGCATTCAAATAGTAATAATAATAAAAGAAAAATAATAATAATAATAATAATAATAATAATAATAATAATAATATTTTTTTTTTTTTTTTTGCGTGGGAAGTGGAAAATCTGCTATAACCTTGGAGGCCTACTTCCAAGTCAGATACCTGGAGCCCGTACTCCTAGGTTATGTGGGGATGACCGCTCTTGTTCTGGCCGACCCACTAAAAACCACTCCCTTTTGAGACATATCTCCCCTGGCGGAACTGCTGTCAAGCTTACATCGCCAGTGGAGGTCTCCTTACCTACTTCCAGATCCAAGTCCTTAACAAGGCGCCAGCCGAAGAGGGAGGAGTTCCAATTAAGGTCTCCTCCGTCCTCCGCGAGCGCCCCGCCGAGCAGCAGGAATTCTCCAGGGTAATCTCGCCCTTCTGTCGTTCTCCTTCCTCCTCATGACTTCGATGACAAAAGTCTCGACTTCTCGCCATGAGTCCGCGCTCTGCAACATAATTAAAACCATATTCTCGACCGTGACTTCAGTGCCCACGACCGAAAACATGGCTTCCCTAAGTTCACGCCAGTGCCCGCAGGAAAAAAGCGTGTGCTCCGCGTCGTCAGTGTGCTCTGCTTCGTCGTCACCCGAACCGTTACAGTACACACATTTCGCGTCTGCTTCTATTTTAAACCGATAGAAGTACTGTCCGAAACAACCATGACCCGACATCGCTTGTGTAAGGTAGTAGCCTACTTCACCGTGTTGTCTTTCCAACCATGTGGCGAGGTGGGGAATTAGGCGATGAGTCCATCTACCTTTCAATTCCCCATCCCATCTCTTCTGCCAACTCAGAACGAGTCTTTTTCTTGACTCTAAGCGGATTAGAGCTTTGAGTCTTTCTCTACGCTCCGGGTTGCCTACTAGATCTTTGGAGAGCTGGAAATTCTCCTGCCTTTCCATCGCCAACAAATCCATTGGCGGTAATCTAGCAAGCACCCGAAGAGCGCAATCAGACACCGTTCTGAAGGCTGACGTTATTCTCCTTGCTGGCTCTCTCTGGGCCGAGAGAAGTCTGTCAGAGATGCTGTGGATCTTAAGGGCTGAAGCCCATACAGGGGCAGCATAAAGCTGCTTTGATTGAACCACAGTCGCCACCAGTCTTCGTTTATTTTCCCTGGGGCCACCGATATTAGGCATCATCCTCGAGAGGTTTCCCATGCATTCGGTGGCTTTGAGTGTTGAGATGTTAATATGTTGGCCAAAACTTAAACGTTTGTCCAACCACACTCCCAGGTACTTAAGCTTATTTCCCCATGCGACTTCAGTTTCTCCCATTTCAATCTTCGGGGCTTCATAAACTCTCCTGTCTGTGACGAGTAGAGCTTCGGTCTTCTCAAGAGCCATTTTCAGACCATGCCGATATAACCAAAATTCAGCTCGCCGCAGACTATCTTCAAGTTTTATTTTTAGCAGTCTTACATTCTCATCGTAACATATTAAAAGCACGTCGTCCGCGAACCCGGATATAGACGTATCTTCGGGTAAGTCCAACCTCAGAAAACCGTCATACATAACGTTCCAGATGGTTGGCCCCACCTTTGATCCTTGGGGAGCTCCACATGTCATTTTCTCTTTGATATGACATGCATCGCTCTCGTAGACAACCCATCTGTCGCTAAGATAGTTGTCTATCATTGTTACATCCCGAGCAGAAGGCGAGTTTGATAGGTTAGGTTAAAGAATTTTGGAGGAATGGTAGGCTGATTATGGTCAAGTTGGTAAAGCTTGACCTTTATTTTTAAGTAGGATCGTTTGTACTTGTCAAAACTACGGGTTTTGAGTTACAACAACAATAAATATTCCCTTTTTAACAATTTATTTAAATATTCAAGAGTATGTTTACAAAATTATACAATGTTACTTACTTTTAGTTTACAGATTAGTCGTAGATTCAAAATTGAAGCGCTGGTCGATATAAGTTTGGTTTTCAAGATGTTGTTTCAATTGAATGAAACTGAGAAAGTTTGTTATGTTACACTTATGTAACTTTCACAACTTTAGGGTTTTTGCGTTTGTTTCAAGAGTTAGTACCGTTTCTAAGTGTTACTTATCGTCACTTGCACCTAATTATGGAAAGAAACTTGTTTCTAAGTGTGAGAAAAGCAACTTGCACAATAATTGAGTACAATTCGGTCTGCAATTGCCAATTAAAGAAAGAATTGGTGAAAAACTACAATTAATGAAACTTGACACGCAAAATACGACAGTTAATACATTGATTCTAAGTGTCAAATTGCTTTTCTTGCACCTTTTACGGAAAGAAACTTGTTTCTAAGTGAATAACAAAATTGACTTGCACAATAACCGAGTACAACTCGAACTGCAGTTGCCGATTAAAGAAAGAATACAATAAATAATGAAAAACTGAAGGGTCGCTCTACAATGACTACTGGTCTTATAAACCGCACCGGAACTTTTGACAATTTGTGTTAAAAAGCTTTGCCTTATATACTATAAAATTATTAAAAGTGGGAGAGTTTGTAGACAGTTATGGGGGTAAAAGGTGTCAATTCTTTAGAATAATACTTATTCATTATAGTTCTATTTATAATTAAGATTCGAAGAAAGAATGCGTCTCATCGGCAACTAGCCAACATTTTACCTCATATATGGAAAATATGATGCTCGAGTTACAAGCGATTTTTCCTAGAACTCGGGTTGCGGGAAAGAGGTCATAGCCGGCGCGCTCGAGCTTACGTGAGTCACTTTTTGATTCAACGCATTGTTCTTTATTTTTGTTAATTTCTATCTCTGGTTTTGTTTTTTTGATCATTATTCTAATATGTAGGACAAAGTATAAGATTTCAGTTATAACTTCTATCTCATTTATTGTATTTTTACGTTTTTTACTTGAGTATTATGTGTTGAAATTAAGATAGTGAAGTTACATTACAGATATGCCTTTATAATCAAAATAAAAAATGTATCTGGGATGTAACAGTCCTCCCTCCTTACATTTTTCAACGTCTCGGTGAAATTTAAGTCTCATTATTGAGATACAAAGTTTATACTTGAGAATTTTGAAATTGAGAATGTCCTAATCGTGAACTATTTACAGTGTCTACAGTGATATAAATATCCTTGCGCTCTTCTTACATTCGGTGGCGCTTAGATAAGAACGATAAAATTACTACATAGAGTGTTTGTTGTGTTATGATATGTGTTGTTTGTGTTTTCTTAATCATCTTCTTAAGGTAGGTATGGATTTCTTCTTTCTCAGGGCGGTCGTTGACTTTTTGTTTCCCATGATGGTGATTTCAAATTGTCAACTTCAGCATTTTGCATCCCTATAAAGGATGGTAGCACATGGAGCATCGTCAGTAATTATCTAACTTCTCGAGGTACGCACGTGTTATAAAAGTAAGAAGTGTAATCCTCTTTATTCCTTTTAGTGTTATAATTCGCATAAGTGTTTCTATTAGTGTTCTTGTTTTTGCTTTTTCAAAATTATATATATATATTTTTTGTTTATAGTGTCTGAAAAAGTTTGTTCTATAAAATTGGAGTCGTTTTTGCAATCCTTGCAAGTTCTGGCTGCTTCGATCCACAGTTCTATATCGGAGGTGGATTGCCTGCAGGCACTGGCGCGTCCTGGACGTCCGAAACGAGGAGGATACCGAAAAAAACTAGATATTAAGGCACGAAATGTGGAGCTACGTCGTTTAAAGACAGAAATTCAGGAGGATTTGGCACAATTGACTTCAATGTTGAATCTTGTTCTGTGAGTGTAATTTTAATTCCTTTGTGTATTTTATCTTCTTTCCTTTTTACAATTTCCTTTTCTTTTTATTTTATATAGTCGTCCAGATCGTCCGAGTCAATGCTATTGTGGAGGGTGTTCGATTTTACCCAATAAGACATTGAACTTGACAGGTGATTATATTTTTTTTTGTTATACATCCAAAAATTTTTACTATATTGGTTCTTTCCTTTTGTTTTGATAATTTTATATGAAATTTTTCTTTTTTTGTTATAATAATTTTGTTGTTTATATTGTTTGTTTAGAACAATCTGTGCCAAGAAATTTTGTGGACACCATGGTGTGGATAAACGATGTACCGCAATTTATTTCGTCGGCCGAAATTGAGGATAAACCACTGGACCTTTCTATGAAGGCTTCCGTCTTAAATAAAATTTTTCTACCGAAAATTTCTGTGAAGGACATTAAGACGCTTATAGACGATCCTTTGTGGCTTGAGCCTGTGGTTAATGCTGCTCTTCAACCGCAAGCAGATCCCTCTTCTCAAGTGCAAGCAGGGCCTTCCTTCCAACCACAAGCAGGGCCTTCTTCTCAACCAAAAACAGATCCTTTCTTCCAACCACAAGCAGGGCCTTCTTTTCAATTGCAAACAGAGCCTCTTTTTTTATCTACAAGCAGGGCCTTCTTCTCAACCAAAAACAGATCCTTTCTTCCAACCACAAGCAGGGCCTTTCTTCCAACCACAAGCAGGGCCTTCCTGGTATAGGGAACCTGAGGATGTAGAAATAATCCTGGAGGAAATTCGTTTGCCAAAATTGGTCCCAAGCAGAGTTGAATTGTGCATGTGCGGTTTGTGCAACATATAAGGTTTTTTTTTCTTTTCGTGTATTATGTTTTTTGTTTGTTATTTTTAATGTTTCGTGTTCAATTGTAATGTGTGTTTATATGCGTGTGTGTTTTCCATTTGTAGTATGAATGCGCGTGTGATTATTCCGAATAAATTTGACATTTTCTTATAAATTTTGTATACAATTATTTGTTTCGCTAAAACCTCTCTTATTCGTTCTTTTTACAATCGAAATTTCTTACTTTAAATTATTCACCTTCTTAGATTTCTTTTCTGTTATCAATTTATCTGTTTTTTACTTGTTTTGTTTTAAAATATTAATTTGAAAAACTTGTTCGATTTGCATCACAATTCAGATTTTTCATTACAAAATATTGACTTTTTCTTAATATTTACCAAGTATTTATCCTTTTCTATCCCGTTAATAATTTAAATTCTTGCTATGAATTATAATTATTTTATTTCAATCTTTGCAAATAAAATTTTTAATTCTATTATTTTTTTTTTTACACTTTCATTTTTAGTAATTGTCAACCAATTAAAGCTTAAAAACAATCATAAAATCAAACTTATAAAACATCATTGCTGTTTTAGTTACAATTAAAGGTAAGTAATTTGAATATACTTTTTTTTTTTGAATTCTTATTTGACATAACAATTATTTTACATAATTTATAATTTATCTACGAAATTGCTAAATTTATTGAATTTGTTGACCATAAAATATTAAAATTAATATATAATTTCTTTTCAACTATTTGCCTGATTAATGTTAATAGTTTTTATTAGGAACAATTTTTTAACTAGTCGTAGTTAATTATTCCAAAATAATTTTGCAAAAAGTCAGTTGTTTATAATGTAATTTTATTAGATTTTCCAAAATGGGTAATTAGTTATTATAAAACAATATTTTTGGTTTTAATAGTTAATAAATAATAATTAATAAATAACAATTAATAAATAATAATTAATAAATAATAATTAATAAATAATTAATAAATAATAATTAATAAATAATAATTAATAAATAATAATTAATAAATAATAATTAATAAATAATAATCAAAAGGAATTATTATTATCGAGCAATTCTGCACTTAAAGATGTTTAAATAAATTGTTCATTTATAAATTGTTCGATGATAATAACCTTAGAATGAAGCTATTCTAAAAGAAAATAAAAGAAAATAGCGGAATTTGTGTTAAATTGTTGTGTTAATAATGCATAATAGAAATATATGTCTGGCCGACATAATGGCGGGTCGAGCGGTTCTCGCCTTGCTCTGTATGTGGGGAGAGGCATGAGACCCAGCGCGCGAGTATTGGACAGTGGGCGTGGGGCCTTTCACTCCTCCGCGCGGTGAATCGACTCCTCCCTCCTTATATTCGCCTGATACTTGAGGCTTGCTTTGAGTCTCTTAAACCTCATTATTTATTAATAATAATTATTTAAAAATTAAAAGTTGATGTTGCTCTTAAATATTAAGTAATTTTCTTTAAATTTACATTATTTTGGTATATGTTTATAGTATACCAAAATTTATTAATCAATAATAATAATTCTTTAATATCAATATGTAATTCGTTTTTTTTTTTAATAATAATAATAATTTTAATAAAGTTGATTAAAATTGTTAATAGCAATTTTATAATTATTAAATTTGTTAAATGTTAATTAAAGCAATAATTATATAGTGTGTTAGTGATTGATAATATTTTATTTAATTCTAGTAATTATTATTATTGTTATTATTATTTTTTTTTTGTTTATAGTAATAATAATGATGTTTATTGAATTGAATTTAATTATTTATTTATTTATTTATTCATTATTTAAAATTTTTTTTTTTTGTTTATTAAATAAATTATTAATTAATTGTTAATACATTAAAGCCATAGTTAATTATTAATCATCATTAATTAATAATTAAATTGTTTACTTATTTGATATGAATATAATTTACAAATTATTAACAATATTTTATATTATTATTATTCCCAAAGTATTATTGTAAAATTTTAATTTATTTATTAGCTTAAAATTAGTAACAATATAATTAATTTATTAGTATTTTAAAGAGCATTAATTTTCAAAGCATATTGTACATTGATTAGTAGTCTTTTAATAATGTTAAAATTATGTGGTTTTACGTTCGATTTTTCATCATTTGAGAGCAAGAATTAATTTGAATTTGAATCATTTGCCGCTCTTTCATGATGGAAGTCGGCAAGGCATGCGCGTCTTACTCTTAAACTGGAGGTACTTGCATGCATTGGTCACGTGGTTGAGTGGAACCACTATTCGGCCATCGCGGTGTGCCATGCATAATAAAAGAGGTGCGAGCACGGTCGATGTACAATCGATGCGTGCTTAAAGCTGGCGCACTTATTTGAATTATGCTGTCTTATGCTCTATTCATTTTTTTATTCTATTTTTGTTGTTTTTGGGCTTAAAATTGTCGAAATTTTTGCAGATTTTTGAGACCTTTCCTCCCTCTTTAGACTTTACATTGCCCTCAATGTAATGGAGTGGTTGAACCCATTTATTTATTTATTTATTTTTTCTTTTTCATTAATTTTGTACTATTGGTGTTTGGTTTCTTCTTCTTTTCCATCTTGTGGTTATTAATAAATAGCACAAGTACAGTTTTCTTACTATGATGATAATTATTATTAGTAAGAGTAGCTGAAAGAATAGTATAAAACCATCTTTAATTGTTGTGATGTAGTCTTTGGCATTTAATATCCAACTTATAACGGGAATTTCCATCTGTAAACAGATTTATTTTAACAGATGTTATTTTATATCTATAATTTTTGATTATATATGATACGAAATTATATTTTACTTATTTATTAATATTAAAATTAATTTATTATTTATTTAGTTTATCAATTGTATTATAACTTAGTTAATTTATTTTAATTGTGGGATTTTGTTATTATTATTAATCAATTTAATTATATTATTGTGACTAATTAATTATAATTATGGATTTTATTAAATAAAAGAGGAAAGAAGAAGGCAACCACCATTCCTCTTCCTTCTTTTCTTTCGTCTTTTATATGTAATTGTATATTTATTTATTTACATATAATTATTTTCTTGTTTAAAATAAAGAGGAAAGAAGAAGGCAACCACCATTCCTCTTCCTTTTTTTCTTTCGTCTTTATTTTAATGTTTTGTTTGGTTTATTGATTAAATTAGGAGTATACATTTTTTTTTTTTTTTTTTTTTTTTTTTTTTTTACATATATTTTACTGATATTATATATATATTTTTATTATTATTATTATTATTTTTTTTTTTTTTTTTTTTTTTTTATTATGGATAATTATATGGGTGATTTAATATTTTTTAATTAACTGAATATATATATATATATATATATATATATATATATGTGTGTATTCTTTATTTATATTATCCTTATTTATTTATTTTTATTTTATTTATTTATTTATTTAATTTCCTATTAACAGTTAATTTATTAAAATTTTATACATGGCTTATTGAAATAACTGTTAATTGGAATCTATCGCGTTATTTTAGTCCCATGGTAGGGTAGGAGCTGGTAAATTCCAAAATTCGTCTGAATCGTCAGATACGCTTGTTGTTGGATTTTCTTTTCTTAATATTTTCTTATTTCTGATTACGCTAAAGCATTGTTCTTTAATGTGCCCTCTTTTGTAGCAACATTCGCAACAGTTTTCCCATTTGAAAAGTTTTAATTTTAGTACTGATGGTTCGTCGTGGGACATTACATAAATTTTTCGTTTTAGGTTTTTGGGTCTTTCTTCTTCGCTAAAGAAATAAGTGTCATTTAATTCTTTTAGGATTATTTTGGCTGCTGAATGTTCCGATTCCCTAATTGTTCTGCACTCATTTCCAGTAGCAACAAACATGTTATTGTTCTTATTGTCTGTTACTGTGCACTTCACTTGCCACAATTTATTAAAAGTGGGTCCTGTGGTTTTGTCAACTATATAATTGGGTTTATTAAGGTTGTATTCTGCCGTTAATACCTCGAGTATTCCTTTTGGATATGATATGTTGTCTATGTTTCCTTTTGGAAACGTAGAAGTTGATACCATTTCTCCTTGTAGTGGTGGGGAGAAAATTATGGATTCGGACATCTAAAAATTAAAATCATGTTATTATTGTTATTCATATGCAATTTTTAACTTATCTACATGTTTTTGGAACCTGTTACCATCATCATTTATTAGAATAACATTGTTTTTGTTTAGAATATCCACAATTCTGTATGGACCATGATAATGAGGATCGAATTTTCTTTTTAAACCTTCTTTCATGACGTAAGCTTTATCACCGATTTTTCCTTGAAAAGGTTTGATAAATTTATCATACCTTTCTTTGGACTTTAATTTAGCATTTATTAGATTTTTAGCTGCTAGTGCTCTAATTTCAATTAATTTGGTGATAAGTTCAGTCAAATAGGAACCATATGTTTCTAATTTAATTTCCTGAGGAAAAGAACTAGGAGAGCGAGCAGTTTTTCCAAAAACTAACTCATAAGGGGTAAAATTGGTGGCTTCATGCACGGATGTATTGTAGGCAAACATTGCAAAGGGCAGTAGTTTGTCCCAATCATCATAATCTTTAGTGTACTGTTTTATATAGTCTGCTAAAACGGCATGACTGCGTTCTAAAGCGCCGTTTGTTTGGGGCCTATAACCAGAGGTTGTAACTTGTTGTACTTCGAAAATTTTGGATAATTTTGACATTAATTTGCCAATGAAAGAAGTACCTTTATCTGTTAAAATTACTTTTGGGGCTCCATACACTGAAAATAATTCCTTTGCAACAGCATGAGCAATAGTAGTTGCTGAAATATCTGGAATTGCAACTGCTATACAGTATTTGGATAAATGGTCTTGCATCGTGAGAATATGACA